GAAGGTCGCGTCGGAGGGTTCCTGGCCAGCTGGGGTTACGGCTTCGTGAGCCAGGTGGAGGTCGGCGGATACTATAGCTACTTCGAGGTGTTCACCGCGTGCGATAGAGAGGCCGAAGATAGTTTAAACGAGGCCACCGAACGTTGCAGGGAAGCCGGGGCCAAAGCCGAAGTTTCAGGGTTCGGAATAGGAGCCAGCGCGGGCGGCAGTACAACCAGATGTAACACGGAAGGCCTTTCGGGCTCTCAGAAAAAAGCCTTGTCCTCTATAACGAAAGACTACCAGCACGCACAGATAGGAGGAGACAACCTAGGAGACGAAGCGGACTGGGAGAGCACGCTTAAGATGAATCCGTACCCGCTGAAGGTTCAAATAACCCCCATCTTCAACGTGAAAGGCCTTTCGAGGCGATCTATCGAACTCCTGAAACTCAAAGCGGACACGGTCCGCCTGAACCTCGGGCACCTAGCAGAGCAACAGCCGGTGATAAAGAACAACTGTTGATTTATGATGTGGTGTGTTGTGTGTGTAATTATGATCAGCTGTTATTTGTAATTGTGGTGACAAAATAAATATTTTTGTTTAAAACATACGGTTTATGTGATTCATTGTTTTAAAACTACCTCTTCACACATACTGCTAGACCACCGCTAAAAGACACGCGGGTGTAATTTAATTTTTGTTCAAAATGAATAAAAGTTTTCTTTTCTATACCTTATGAAATACATTTAACATTGTCCTTTTGGCTTATAGAGGTTTAACTATTGTGTTTAATTAGACCGCCCTCTGTCATGGTAAACCATTTTAATTAAAACACATACAAGATATTATGGTATTACATGTTTGTATTTATTATTGCTACAAATACATGCGCATATTTGCAACAATCAGTGATCACAAAAACACATTTCAGAGTGCTCTGCCTCAATCTCTCTAATGGCGCTGCACCCTCGAAGCCAGGTCTTTGCGAGGAATCTTTTCTAGCAGCTCGATGAAGGCTTCCGTTGAGTATCGCGATGCGATGATCTCAGCCACTTCTCTCCTCGAATTCAGATCGGCTACGGAGGAGTCAGCTCGAGTGTTGTGCACATCCGTATTCACCATTATCCATTTGAGTACACCGAATTGATCCCGTGTCAAATCATCCAGGGGCATTAGGATCTCGGCAACAGACAAGCCGCCACGCACGGCGGCGGCACATTCGGTGCACACATCATTTACTTCGGGTTTCTGAGGAAACCAGTGCTTGCAGACGGCGTAGATCAGATACGACAGGATCTCCGCAAGCGCCGCCCTGCCGTTGCCTTCGTTCGCGACCGTGGTTATCTCACGGTCGCACTTGCATCTTCGTACGTCGAGTTCTACGGGGAGCCAAGCCGCCCAGGCTTTCATGAGCGCGTCGGAGGCCCGATCGCCTTTCGCTTTGACA